TATAAGATCATGTCATCTGCAAACAGCGAGAGTTTTACTTCTTCGTTACCTATTTGGATTCCCTTTATTTCTTTTTCCTGCCGAATTTCTCTGGCCAACACCTCCAGTACTATGTTGAATAGGAGTGGTGAAAGTGGGCACCCTTGTCTTGTTCCTGTCCTCAGAGGGATGGCTTTCAGTTTTTCTCCATTGAGTATGATGTTGGCTGTGGGTCTGTCATATATGGCCTTTATTATGTTGAAGTAATTTCCGTCTATTCCCATTTTATTGAGGGTTTTTATCATAAATGGGTGTTGGATCTTGTCGAATGCTTTCTCTGCATCTATTGAGATGATCATGTGGTTTTTGTTTTTCATTTTGTTGATGTAGTGTATCACGTTGATTGACTTGCGGATGTTGAACCATCCCTGTGTCCCTGGTATAAATCCCACTTGATCATGGTGTATAATCTTTTTGATGTATTGCTGTGTTCGGTTTGCCAAAATTTTGTTGAGGATTTTTGCATCTATGTTCATCAGTGATATCGGCCTGTAGTTCTCCTTCTTTGTGTTGTCCTTGTCAGGTTTGGGGATCAGAGTGATGTTGGCTTCATAGAATGTGTTAGGGAGTACTCCATCTTTCTCAATTTTCTGGAACAGTTTGAGAAGAATAGGTATTAAGTCTTCTTTGAATGTTTGGTAGAATTCTCCAGAGAAGCTGTCTGGTCCTGGACTCTTATTTTTGGGGAGGTTTTTGATTACCGTTTCTATTTCCTTACTTGTGATTGGCCTATTCAGATTCTCCATTTCTTCCTGATTCAGTTTGGGGAGATTGTAGGAGTCTAGGAATTTGTCCATTTCTTCCAGGTTGTTCAATTTGTTGGCATATAGTTTTTCACAGTATTCTCTTATGATCTCTTGTATTTCATTGTATCTGTTGTGATTTCTCCTCTCTCATTCCTAATTGTATTTATTTGCGATTTCTCTCTTCTTGTTGAGTCTGGCTAAAGGTTTGTCGATTTTGTTAATTTTTTCGAAGAACCAACTCTTTGTTTCATTGATCCTTTCTATTCTCTTTTTTGTTTCAATATCGTTTATTTATGCTCTTATTTTTATTATTTCCCTCCTTCTACTGTCTCTGGGCTTTGTTTGTTCTTCTTTTTCTAGTTCTGTTAGGTGTCGTTTGAGATTGCTTATGTGAGCTTTTTCTTGTTTAGTGAGGTGAGCCTGTATTGCGATGAATTTCCCTCTTAGGACTGCTTTTGCTGCATCCCAAATGATTTGGTATGTCATGTTCTCATTTTCATTTGTCTCCACATAATATTTGATTTCTTCTTTAATTTCTTCAATGATCCATTGTTTGTTCAGAAGCATGTTGTTTAGTCTCCACATTTTTGCACCTTTCTCTACTTTTTTCTTGTAGTTGATTTCTAGTTTAATAGCATTATGATCAGAAAAGATGCTTGAGATTATTTCAACTCTCTTGTATTTATTGATGTTTGCTTTGTTTCCCAAAATATGGTCAATCCTTGAGAATGTTCCATGTGCACTTGAGAAGAATGTGTAACCTGCTGTTTTTGGATGAAGTGTTCTATATATATCTATTAAGTCCATCTGGTCTAATTTTTCATTTAATTCTATTATTTCCTTGTTGATTTTCTGTCTGGATGTTCTGTCCATTGGTGTTAATGGTGTGTTCAGGTCCCCTACTATTATTTGATTGTCGTTGATGTCTTCTTTTAGTTCTGTTAAGAGTTGCTTTACAAATTTTGGTTCTCCTGTGTTGGGTGCGTATATATTTATAAGTGTTATGTCTTCTTGGTGGACAGTCCCTTTGATCATTATATACTGTCCCTCTTTGTCTTTCTTTATCTGTTTTGCTTTGAAATCTACCTTGTCTGATATTAGTATAGCGACATCTGCTTTCTTTTGTTCATTATTAGCTTGGAGTATTGTTCTCCATCCCTTCACTCTGAGTCTGTGTTTGTCTTTGGGGCTGAGGTGTGTTTCCTGGAGGCAGCATATTGTAGGGTCTTGTTCTTTGATCCATCCTGCCACTCTGTGTCTTTTGATTGGGGAGTTCAATCCATTTACATTTAGAGTGGTTATTGAGATGTGGGGGCCTACCACTACCATTTTATGTCTTGTTTTCTGGTTTTCTTCAATTTCCTTTGTTTCTCGTGCCATGGTTTAATCTATTCTGATGAAGAGCTGCTACTCTCTGTTGTTGTCCTACTTATCTCCCCTGCTCTTGGTTTTGCAGTCCCTTTCCTTTTTTGGATTTTTCAGGAATGAGGGTTTTCCTGAGGATTTCCTGAAGAGGAGGTTTTGTGGCAATGAACTCCCTTAATTTTTGTTTATCTGGGAAAGTTTTTATTTCTCCATCGTATTTGAAGGATATTTCCACTGGGTAGAGAATTCTTGGCTGTCGGTTTTTGTCCTTCAGATTTTTGAATATATCATTCCACTCTCTTCTAGCCTGTAAAGTTTCTGCTGAGAAATCTGCTGATAGCCTGATGGGGGTTCCTTTGTAGGTTAGTTTCTTTTGCCTGGCTGTCCTTAGTATTTTCTCCTTGTCATTGACTTTTGCTAGCTTCACTACTATATGCTGTGGGGTTGGTCTTCTTGCATTGATAAAGTTTGGAGATCTATTGGCTTCTGTCACCTGAAGATCCATCTCTCTCACCAGATTTGGGAAGTTCTCTGCCATTATTTCTTTGAATAGGCTTTCTGCCCCTTTCTCCTTCTTTTCTCCCTCTGGTATACCTATAATCCTTACGTTGCATCTCCTAATTGTGTCTGATAATTCTCGGAGAGTTTCTTCATTTCTTTTTAGTCTTACTTCTCTCTCCTCCTCTGCCTGCTGCATTTCTATATTGCCATCTTCCAAATTGCTAATTCTTTCCTCCATATTATCGGCCCTACTGTTCAGTGCATCTAGATTTTTCTTAATCTCCTCTATTGTGTTCTTCATTTCCAATATTTCTGTTTGGTTCTTCTTTATCGTATCAAACTCTTTTGTGACATAGCTCCTGAACTCGTTGAGTTGTCTATCTGAATTCTCTCTTAACTCATTGAGTATTTTAATGATGGCTGTTTTGAAATCATCATCATTTAGGTTATATATCTCATTTTCTTTGGGACTGTTTCCTGTGTATTTGTTATTTTCCTTCTGTTCTGGAGATTTAATGTATTTTTTCATATTGCTTGATGTTGTTGATTTGTGCCTCCACATAGAGATAGAGTTTAGTTGCTCCTTTCACTTGTTTCTGCTGGTGTGGTGAGGGAGGAGCTGTTTATACTGCACCCACCAGGAACCCTATCCGCAGTTGCTAACTGGGCCTGGGCCCCTCCTTGTAGTCACAGTGGTCCTTTGGTTTCCCTCCTCTGCCGTGTGGGCCGTCAGAGGGGGGCTTCATGCTGCTGGTGCCTTCTGTTGCAGCCCACCTAGACGTGCTCCCTCCTTGGGGTCTGCCACGGTGTTATGGGCTTTTCCAGCGGCCAGGGGTAGGATCACTTATATTTGTCACTCCATCACTGTCGGCACCCATTAAATCTCACTTGTCCACTATGGGTCGCAGGAGAGCTATTGGCATCTTCTACAGTCTGTGGTTAGTTCACCTAGCTATGCTACTTTTGTCCCGGGGTCTTCCAGCCTTGTGGCTGCCGGATGGGTGCTTTCTACTAGTGCTGTGCAGAGGCTTTCCCTGAGGCTGCTGTGATCCTGTAGGGTTTCCCCCTAGGCTACAGAGCTGGATCACTGGAACTCCACCCAGCACCAGTCCCGTTCCCCAGGAACTCGGGGAGCCCTTTGCCCTGTCTTGGTGGATAGCCAGAGATCCTGATTTCAGTGGTAGCTGGTCAGCTGCTGCCCTGCCTGATATTCTCCTCTCCGGGATCCTCCTGGTGTTGTGGATGGTGGGTGTAGCCCCTCCGCTAATAGCAGACAGAGAGTTTTGTCTGCTGCCCGGGCAGAACTCTGGAGCTTCCCCTATGGGCCACAGGGCCGGCCTCTGGAGCTCCCCCTAGCCCCAGTCCTCTCCGAGATCTCCAGCAATCCCTAGCCCCACGGGCCGGGCAACAGCAGCTGGGGGTCACGCCGCCCTCTGGGGTTCTCTCCAGGACTTTCCCGGAGTTGTGAATGCTGGGAGTGGCCCCTCCACTAATGGCAGACAGAGAGTTTTGTCTGCTGCCCGGGTGGAACTCTGGAGCTTCCCCTCCAGGGTGCGGAGCCGGCCTCTGGAGCTTCACCCAGCCCCAGTCTGCTCCAAGATCTCCAGCAATCCCTAGCCCCACCGTGCAGGCAGTGGCAGCCGGGGGACCTCCATACCCTCAGTGATTCTCTCTGGGACCCTCCGGGCGCCATGAACACTAGGCGGGATCTCCCCGCCAATGGCTGGAGAGACTCTCCCCGCAGGCTCAGGTGTGTAACTCTAGAGTTTCCCTCTGCGTTTAGGAGTAATTGCGGGGGGTTTAGGTAGGGTTCTGGTCACCTGTTTCCACCGTCGCTCCTCTGTTGTGTGCTTGCTCCTGCCCTAGATGTGTGTTGATCTTCTGGGGGCGTCCGTTGGAAGAAAGCTGCTTGCAGGTACTAGGCTGTTCGGTCGGGGTCGGAGAGTTTTCACCTATTTCCACATCCTCCCAGAGGAAAGTCCGTCCGCCTTCCGATGTATAGTCACGTGGGTCTCTCAGACGTCCTGAGATGCTGTCTGGATATCCTTTCTTAAGCGATAAGTGTCCAGATAATTGTAGACTCGAAGGGGGAGAGACAAAGAGGACTACTCATGGTGCCATCTTGGATCCTCCTCCTCTTACTTATCTGGAACTCATTTTTGAAACACTACAGAGCTAAACAAACAGCAAGTGAGGTTTCAACCCCAAGTTAAAATTCACTTACCTGCGATATTATCTGGGCATTTTAGAAGAAGTTGATGATGCAAGAACCAAACATTCTAGCTCACCCAGTATTTCTGTTCACTTTGACCCATTCTAGAAATCCCAAGTCTGTACTACATGGCACAGTCAAAGAAGAGAAGGTGTTCTACTGATGAGTTTTCTCAAGGCTCCCTTCATGTCCCTATTCCTCAGGCTATAGATGAAAGGGTTCGGCATTTGAGGGATAACAATGTACATCACTGAAGCCACTGCAGTGTTTCTGGAAGAGTTAGTAAGAGCAGAGCTAACGTACACCCCCAAACCTGTCCCATAGAATAAGGACACAACTGAGAGGTGAGATCCACAGGGGGAAAAAGCTTTATACATTCCCCCTGCTGATGGCAGTCTCAAAATGGAAGAGACTATCTTAGTATAAGAGAAAATGATTCCACACATAGGAATACCACCAAATAAGCAAGTTGTAAAATATATCAGGATGCTATTGATGAGGGTATGAGAACATGCAACCTTAAGGACATGAGCAAGTTCACAGAAGAAGTGAGGGATTTCCAGGTCCCTGCAGAAGGACAGCCGTAGCACCCTCAAACTATGGAGCAAGGCAACCACAATGCTAAGAGACAGAGAGAGAAGAATCAGCAGGACACAGAATCTGGGGTTCATGATGACCATGTACATGAGTGGGTGACAAATGGCCACATAGTGGTCATAGGCCATTGCTGCAAGGAGAAAATTCTTAAATATGTCAAAAACCAGGGCAAAAACAATCTGAGTGAGGCAGCCTGTATAAGTGATTCCCTGATTCTGTGCTTGTATGTTCAGCAGCATCTTTGGGATTGTGGTTGTGCTTATACAGATGTCAGTAAAGGACAGATTTGAGAGAAAGAAATACATGGGAGTGTGGAGGTGGGAGTCAGAGATGACAGCCAGGATGATGAGGAGATTTCTGAGGATGGTGACCAAGTACATGGACAGGAAAAGGCAGAAGATGAGGGGCTGCAATTCTGAATCATCTGTGAATCCCAGGAGAAGGAATTCTGGAGCATCCGTGTGATTTCTGGATGCCACATTGATGAATCTGATGGGAGAAATGGTGTTAAAAGAACATAAAGTGAATGGTCCTGGATAAGCAGCAAAGCATCAACAGGGAAATTATTAGAAATGAATAATCGTGGTACCACTCCAGACTTATTGCTGGCAAACCCTGGGTGAGGACCAGAAATCTAAATTTGAGAAACTCTCTAGGTGAATTTGTTGCATGCTAAAGTTTGAGAAACAATGCTCAAAACAGAGAAAAATAGTAATAGTGTGAACCCAAGAGAATATTCAAATCTTACCCTCTGCTAATGTCTCCCTCCATCGTCATGTCTCACTCTTACTCTTCTCTCCACTCCCTTTATTGGGCCAGCTTTTTATTGATCACCAACTTGCTTTCCCATCTTGTGCCAAGTGCTGAGCATGAAACAAAGAAGAAGACATGATATTTCCTTGAGAAATATTCCCTGCCTTCAAACAATCAGAAAGACAAGAATGAAGTTATTAATCTTTCTTGTAGACTTTAGTCCCCAATTTGGCATGCCTCAGAGTCATGTGACAAGCATGTGAAATCACAGATGAGTTAGACCATACAATCAGTCAATTTATCCATGGGGAAATTTAAGTAAGTTAAGATTACATCATGGACATGGTGTACAAGGTGAGTTCATGACAAAAAGTAAGTCTAAGATCAAATCATCTAATTGTCGAATTGGCTCACTTGACTAATCTCTGTTACTATCTGTAGATAGTACAGAATTAGCATTCCTAAACCATTACTCAGATTTCATAATTCCCCAGTAAAATTTTAATATTCCATCCTGAGCAATGTCTCAAATCTTTTTACATCTCTACAAGGTATGTCTACCTCTACCCATAAAGTACTATGTAGAACATGCAAGACATCCAACCAAGCATACACTATGTACCTGAGCAAAATTAGAAAATGTTGCCTGTAAACTTGAAGTTCATAAGACTCTCCCATGGTAACATGACTCAACTGCATTAGCAATGGATTATAAGAAGAGCTGGAAAATTACACCAATGAGATTGTCTTTCTCATCCTAAGGGAATTTATTTCCCTAAGGTGATATATGACATATCATTAAGAAAAAAAGCTAAATGAGAGAAAGAATAAAATGCATAGGATCCTAAAAAACAGATGAAAATAGTTTCACTTTTTGGTCTGTGAAAGACAGAGAGTTACAAGATAGGAGAGTCTTATATGTACCTCTAAGATAATCAAGTGTCCCTATAGGACTCTGTAAATTGGCAGTCCTCATTCCCAAGAGGGAAAAAGAAGTGACCATGGCAGCCTTTATCATTTGGTGTGTTACACAGGCTCAAACATTCTGAATTTAATCCAGGCCAGGACATACATTATGAATGAGAAAAATTGTTCAATTGTTTTCAAAAAATTGTTTTTGTAACCTAAAAAGCCTGATGGGCTCATTTGTATAATGGGAACTGTCATAAAAACTTATGGGGACTTTGCAATGATGAGAAGTGAGTGAAGGAAAAGCATCCAAAACAGCACTCCACATCTGGGACGCTCACTGGCGTTTCCTTTTGTGTTTTTTCTGCCATCCACAAGAACTCCTGGCAAGTTGCACTCCTCAGAAGAAAAAAATAAAGTAGGGTAAGTTGGGGAAAGAAAATAGAAAAGGAAATCATCCCCAGATAACAACTGCAATTTTCAGGGAAAGGTTTCTGAGTGAAAACACCAGCTGGGAACCTTTATCTTGTAGAAAAGGAAAGAAGGAAATATCAATGACATCAATATTCATTTGACGTGGACATATGATAAAATATATAGTAGTTATATTAAATAATAAAAAGAATCAAACGTGAATCAACACAAATAATGAAAACCTACAGAAAAAAACTTGTATAACAAAAAGTCTACAGAAGGAGAAAATTTTAAATATTTTTTGATCTTACAAAGATATGTATATTTTCATTATGGATTATTCAAGTGAAGTGAAAGTACAAAGATAAAAATCAAGAGCTTGGTACCTATCAGTCAAATTTATCAAGTTCATATATTTCAACTATTCTCATTGAAGGTGCCTTTATTGCAATGAAAAATTCAGCTATTTGTGAAGCACCCACATCATGTGTTTCCACCACCTTGATTCTTCTCCTTCCCCAGGAACTTCATATACATTATTCTGCTGCAACTTTCACTTTAATCAGTAACATTGTTCTATAAACAAATCCATTTTGAAAGCTTTATGTAAACCAAAATGTACTGTATATGTCACTTACAATTGCCATCCTTATGCAATTTATTTTTTAGGTAATTTTAATGTATTTACTCTCACTTCATTGATTTTAATTATCAGAAATTATTCCACTACATTTTTATATTGTAATTTCTCAGTTGCCAAACTGATAGGTGTTATGGTTAATGTCCTTCATCCTATATATGTTTATGAACACACTTATGGTATAAAGCCATGCATGGGGAATATCATCACATTCTAGATGATGTGTGTAGGGCAAGGAGAACAAGAACGGAGGGGGACTCAAAGGGGTGCTTTCTGCTTGCATATTATTTTATTACTTTATCAAAAAGACCTGAAGGTGATATTGCAGAATGTCAACATTTGTTAATTCTGGAATGAGTTGAAGGATGGTCATATGGTTTTTATTTATTATACTATCTCTACTGTTCTTATATAAAATACATGGTAATATTATAAAGAGAAGCAAGTGTAGTAGGAAGGCCACTGGTTAAGTCTCTCTGCATATCCACTTTCTCCACAGCATCCTCACAGCCCAGCTTCAGGGAAAATAATATTACATCTGTACAACAGTATATCAAGAACCAGTAACAGAAATGGAAGGAAAAGCTGACCAAACGCTTTGCCTATGACCACACAAGAATTCAAGTAAATGTCAGGAACATCTAAAACAGTCATCCTGTTTGAGAAAGGGCATATTTATGTTTAGGAAGAAAACAGCTTCCGTCATTTTTTAAGAGAAATTAAAAGACCAGCAGATTGAGAGCTGGCTGGGTACTAGTACACATATACATAGGGACTTGTTAACAAGAAGACAGTTAGGCTGCAGTCCCATGGACCCTTGTTTCTGATCATTTCATGCATGTGCTCTACTCATTTCTTCTCATAGATGAATTTTTAGTAAAGCAGCTGTCTTTATAATTAAAGCATTAACAAAGGGACTTTAAGTTACCTGACTGGCATCACTGTGGAATGATGCTTGACATGTCACCAGGATATTGAAACAAAATAAATGTTTTCAGGAAGGGCAGAAACACTAAGTGAGGCAATGGGCTCCTGTACAAGAAAGATCATCCCTGAATGGAGCCTCAGGTGTTTTTCTACCTTACCAGACAAAGTCTGTTGAACGAGGCTGCTGCAGGCTGACTCTTTACAGTCTCTATATCCCTGAGGGATTAATATCCAAAGTTCCTCATTAAACAAATATTTTTAGTGTTATTCTAGTCCCTGGGCACTGCACATCCTTAAAGACCAAGGTAATAGAAGAGAGGAATACACGCTGGCTAATCCCTGACCTTTTTGTGCCTGGTGTACACCATCCAGTTATCTCCACCTCTTCAGGTTCACCTCAATTTCACCTACCTTGGTCATATGTACACACACACATTTGCTAATAAATTCCAAACTTCCCTTTTTAAAGTTACAAATCTCTATCTAATTAATGATATCTTGGAGCATGATTCTAACTTTAAGTGTGAAAACATGATTCATGTATTGGATATAAAAAAACTCTATTTATAAATATATCTAAGATATTATAAAATTCAAACAATTAGAGGTATTTTATTGTTAGAGTCACTGAATATTTCCTGTACCATAATTTCTGTTCTCTACATTTTACACAGAAGATTCTGAAATATCTCTGTGATCAATTGTGATTGTGATCCATATACACAGACCTATTACTCCCCTAAAAGTCCAAAAGACTTTCACAACAATTTTACCCTAGCCACACAGTAGATGAAATGTACATTTTTCTTCACATTGGGAAACTTTGGTTTACATTATTATTCTTCATTTTTAATTGTATTTTGATAAAATACAAAGTCACTAAAGGGAGTCAGTGTGCAATTTTGTTTATTTTCTAGTGGATCTCTTGAGATTTCATCCATACTTTAGCAGATGTGGATAATGCTCCATGTTAATATTCACTTAAAAACATTTTTCCTTAAGGACTTCAATATTTTCATGTGTTCATCAGTTTATTTTACTTTTTAACTTTCCCTATTTGAACTTGCTTAATCTATACGTTTCCAGGGCTATTATTTTTTTAAAAACTTATGACAAGATGATGTCATAATGTCTCTCTTCACCATCTTAACTTCATTCACTTGAAACACATGAGAAATAAGTAAAATACAGGAAGATATAGCCGAGCTCAAAAAAAGACGAAATTTTTCATGTACTACAAAAGAACTGAAACGTGAAGTGATAGGTGGGGTGGATCCAAAGGGCTCTGTGAACTTAAATCCATAGTGAGAAGATACTTACCCTTTCAGTTAATAAGGATTGAATGTCTTGGAAGAAGATTAAGTGATTGAAGCCAAGGCCAAAGTGGAACTTCTTTATTTGAGAAAAGTAGCTGAACATATGGTCATGGATGTGACTGGGCCCATGACTATGGACATAGAATTTTTTTTAAAACCCTCCAAAAAACAACTGAACTAATCTAAGTGTTGACTTTATGACTGGTTTTGTGATATTCTCAATGTCACTGAGCAGAATGAGTCAGTAAGCTGAATTCAGGATAAGAGAACTGGTGATTGGTGAGCACAGTGTGAACTTGGTCCACAGGGAGGAGTGAACACATTGATAGAGAGAGAAGGAGAAACTTTCTCATTCAAATGAAGTCTGAAAATCAAAATAATAATATGTAGAAATCAAAATAATCCTGAAACAGAAAACCAAGAAAATAAATAATCAGAACACAAGGAGACCAACAGAGCTGAAACAGAACAGAGATGGGAAAAATATTAAGCATGATATCAAAGAGGTGACATTAGACAAATTATATCAACAGCCTACTAACTACAAGGACAGACACACGGTAGCCCTGGTAAGATGGCTTTTGAATAATTCTAAAGTTCTAGTGGCTTCGGTCAAGTTGGTAAACATGGGGATAAGATTTGGCTGAGTTATGGATAAATTTTGATGGTGCAGACAACAGTGTTTTCTGGAAGACTGGACACAGGTTATGAGAGAAAGAAAGGAATCAAGGGTGGAACTTGGTGAAACAAAAATGCTCATCACCAGAAAAATTGGACTTGCCATCAATGAAAGGAAAAATTTTGTGCATATCATGTTT